ATAGATCGATATCTCTAGCTTTAGTAGGTTGGAGTAGTTGTTGAAAACGGTAAAAAGTTCTAAATCCATTAATTGCTAATGCCAAAGCAAAAAAATTTAAACATCGAACCCACCCTTAATAAAACATTATGATCATGACTCTGACACCTACTAATGGGCCACCATATTTTTATTTTCCAAATCGATGACGACTTTGAATGGGGCGAAGCTCTAAAATCTAATATTTATAGGAAGCGGTGCGACTTGAGATGTATTAAACTTTCTCAATTTTCATAAGTGATTGCTTAATTTGCCTAAACAGTTGTTCATTGTTGTCACTTTTCTGCAAAATCGCATAGAAGTTTTGAATATTGATGTCGCTTACTAAAATTAAACAAAACAAAATTAAATGGAACAAAGTATAGACAAGAAGAAATAATGAATACCATTTGTTTAGGAAGAGATCAATTTATTTTAACCCTCTTGTGTTGATGGTTTCCAACAACCTGGAAGAAAAAACAAAATTCATTAGCAAATATATTTTGATATTAAAACCAAAAAAAAAAAAAATATTTTGATATGATTATCAGATTTGACTATCAATTAGGTTTCGTAGGAAAAAAATCAACAATTGTAAAAACCAACTAAAAAACACAATAAATTTTTTATATGCAAAAAGCCAATATACAAAAAAAAACACGCATGAAATTGATAAATAAAAAAAAACTAATGAGAAAGTTGGACATGAGCTTGAGAAACCCAACCGAAAAAAACTATAGAAAGAGTATGCACACATGATCTCCAAAAGTTGTTCTCTATATATATAAGAGACGTGGAGTAGGTTTACTTTCGTTTAACGTTAAAAATTATTTTTAATTATCTTTTGGGATATTTTTATATTTATTCCAATATGGTAAAAAAATTAGTTAAAAGAATATAGGATATAATATTCGTTTATTGTCTTTATTAGTTATTTTTTCATAATTCCAAATCTAACAAAGAAAATTTTATTTCTGTTTCATTATTCTTTGGAATATCCATTTGTTCCTCAACATTAAGGAACAAATAACAAACGTGAGTATTATTTCCAGTTGACGTAAAAAAATTCCAAGCATTGTTTCAGCATTTAAATATTAAAAAGAAATCCCAGTTTGTTCCTGAAAATCTGAATCATATCTTGAATACAATAATAATAATTCAATTTGAGTTTGTTCGTGAATAACGCATGTTATTTTGTTGGCATTTATTAAAGACATAAATTTCAAAAATCCTTCAAAGATTTGCATAGATTTCCATATTTTTGTCTTTTCAAATCTCCAAAACAATGTGAATGCCCGATGTTTGTGAG